CTCCTTTCTTACTCTTCCCATAAAGCTTCGCGCGTCTCTTATTTCCAGTCATTCGCCTTGTGTCGCACGAGTCTCGAAGCGCCTGCAGAGTAGACTGTTAGTGCTTTATTGTAAGGTACTCAGGCTGTATTCATTACGCTTGGTTTCTAACCCAAGGTAATCATGAGACTCACTTGCAATCCTCCCAAGCCTGGCGATGAATCATATGAAAAGTTTTCAAAGGTAATTGCTCCTTAACTGTAACTTAACCCAGAGAAACTCATGTGCCCCGCGTGATCATAATCAGCGCTACTTTATCGCTGATCGTGTAATTTTTTAAAGGGGCTTTGTCACGGATGACTAGTTTATATGGTTGATAATGGCAATAACGAGTCATTATTCGCTGTGGAACTTGAGAACTTAGTACTTAGTTGTGAATGACAAAATTAATAGCGTTGTATTATTCTTTTTTTCAGCTTGTCTCTATAGCTCAGGTTGTAACTCGTTCCAGGTTTTAACAATAATGTAACAATTCGAACCGTAGCTTTTCACGATACAGATAAAAGCAGTGAATAATACAATACTTAGTCAAGTGACGCCTCTAATGCCTGCCATGGGATAGCCGATTTAACAAAGAAAACTTGTTTCTCTTACCCTGTGTACCAGAGGTTTTTCTCGCGGGTGGCGGGATCCTTTGGCCCGCGGACCGAAGCCACGAGTGCCGATAAAGATTTGAAAAAGCGGAAGCCGTGCATGAAACGTCTCTGGCACGCAGGATAGGTTTCCATTGATTCTTTTGCCCAAACAAAACGTCAGATTCGAGTCTTACGCAAGTAAAGTTTGCCAAGTACTGAAGTCGCTAAGAAACTAGGTCGAGTAAACAAAAAATTCTATTTTCTCCTGGAAAATTCGGCAATCTTCTTATAAATGTATAGAAAATGATCTTTAATTGCAACGCCACTAGGGAAATTCTATAGAGGTGATTACCTCTAGTATTCCCATATCTTGCTTAATACATTATTTTGTGTTTTATCCGTATTACAGGAAGAAACATCCATCAAGGATTCTTACAGGAAGAAAGCAAAGATGACAACGCAAGTTCTTAACTCAATGGAAAATAATAAGTGTAACGAGGTGGCAGGTGCAATGTATGAGTTTCCGAGGATAACACTTCCAAAGAAAGCTATCGAGGCAGCCAAGGTATCATGTCTTGTTTCCGGCCCTGATTTCTAGTGCCACACTGCAGAATACTGTCAGTAATGGATATCCTAGGCGACGGTAATCGGGATTCCGGAACCCGGGAATTTTTTTCTTGTAGACTGATCCGAAATCAGTTCTGGGGTTTGAAATTTCGTATTCAGACCCGGTTGTTCAAAAAATGGATAGCGTCATCCACCGGATAAATCACCATCCAATGGGTGTATAAGTATCAGGGAAACCAATTGCACTATCCACTGGATAGAGATTTATCCCGTAAATAGCGTTATCCACCTCTTTAACAGCTGAGACCTGCTCTATATTGGAAGCCCGGGATCTCGCTAACGATTGGAATCTGGAATCCACGTTTCATGGACAAGGAATACCGAATCCAGTACCTGCCATCCAGGATCTACAGCACACAATCCGGAATCCACAACGTCCGATCCAGAAGCCAAGATTCTCGTGGATGTACCTTATATTAGACGAGGCGCCAACCCGTTTCCCTCTGTGTCAGTTTTCATAAAAGGCGTTCCTCGGTTAGAAAAAGTGAAAAGGACACTATAGGCTCCCATCTTATTCACTCAGGCTGCTGATAATGTCCGGCGAAAATTACAATTTCACTTTTTCAACTTTCCATGTTGCATTGCTAAATTCCATATGTCGTATCAATCTAGTAACCGCTCCCAGTAAAGTCTTCATCGAGGGATTTTTTGAAATACGGATATTTCCCTCACAAGGAAATTATGTATGTGGTCTGTTTGGTGAGTGAAGTGTCAGGATTTTGGGTGGACAAAAGTAATGTGTAGATATTTTTTGAGTTTACTGAGTCGTGTGTATTGTCATTGTTATTTAGGCCAAGGAAATGCCACCAGACGAGTTTTACTGTTGGCAGGCGCTGGAGAAAACTGGAATTTACATGATTCCTGGCCTCGTTTTTAATATGAAAGGCAGCGGTAACGACTTTTGCTACAGGTAAGATTTGAATTAACAAGGGCCATCAACGTCAGGTCGGAATTTTGATGATTTTAAAAACCTTTCTGTGATATCATTTGCGCCCTTGTGTCACAAGGTTTTCACAGACTTGTCTAATATATTTAGATTGATTAGATTGACTGCACCACTCCCCATACCAGCCGCCCCCACCCCCCCCCCCCCCCC